AATTAGAAAGCCTCAAATTCTAAAAATAGCAGCATTTGATTTTCATTCTACATTGCTCTCTTCCTTATAGAATTTCAAGATTCCTCTTCTTTTTCAAACCATTCTTGTCCAGCCCAGGTAAAAAAATAAAATAAATTAAAATCTTGATTTAAATCATAGTTATGTTCAAGGAAAAAAAAAAAAAGAATTAATAATAAAAAAAATAAATAATCCACAGTATTTAATAGTTTATTTTTGTATGAAAATATTTGCGTAGTTTCATTTTGTTTAGCTGTTTTTCTTTAGTACTCTGTTTTACCAATAATTTTTTATTTAATTTTTTATTTTTTATTTTTTGACTTGGTTAGTTGTATTAAATTTTAGTATATGGTGATGCATCTGTGATTCATATACGCGTAGACAAGCTTTATATAATTCACAGTTAGTAAGTGTTATTATTATTGAATTAAAATTGAATATGTAAGTATTATTATTATTGAATTAAAATTGAATATGTAAATCATCAGATCATAACGCGTGGATTATTATTATTATATTTAATTTACAATTTGAAAATCCTGCGTGTCACAGACTGTACTAATTTGTCCCCGTTGGAAGGATAAAGATTGCATGGGGGCATCTTGCTCCTGCCCGCTTGCTTTCTGCCTCGATCTCGAGAATGGTTTAGAAGCCGTCCTTAAATCCATGGACGACGCATTTGTAAAGTTGAGTACAAAAGATGAAGCGGCCGTGACAGGATTCGACACGTTTGGCCCATCGAATATGGGCAGCCCGAAGCACGAGGCCGCCGTTAAGCTCCAGAAAGTTTACAAGAGCTTTCGGACGAGAAGAAAGCTGGCCGATTGCGCTGTCCTCATCGAGCAGAGCTGGTGGAAGCTGTTGGATTTTGCGGAGCTCAAACACAGCTCGATCTCGTTTTTCCATGTTCAGAAGCACGAGACGGCTGTCTCCAGGTGGTCCAGAGCAAGAACCAGGGCTGCCAAGGTAGATTATTATTATTTTTATTTGTTTATTATTTATCATTCAAATGTGAAGATTAGATTGGTTATGTTGATTATTATTATATTTGATTGAATGATTTCATTTTTATTATTTTATTTTGTTGTGTGTTGTAGGTTGGGAAAGGCTTATCAGAAAACGGCAAGGCTCAAAAACTTGCTTTACAGCATTGGCTTGAAGCTGTGAGTATATATATCTCTATAAATATTCTTGATAATTTCTCAAATATATTTATTTCTAACTAAGATTGCAAATGCTGATTTGATTTGAATTTGGTGTCGACCAGATCGATCCGAGACATCGTTATGGGCACAACCTGCATTTCTATTATGTGAAATGGTTGACTTCACAAAGCAAAGAGCCTTTCTTCTACTGGTAAGATCTAAAAGATTTTTTCATTTTATTTTATTTTATTTTTTCAAAATAATAATTGCTTGAGTTGATAATAAGAAAACGAGTAAACTTGTGCAGGCTAGACATTGGGGAAGGGAAGGAGGTTAATCTTGTGGAAAAATGCACTCGTTCGAAGCTCCAACACCAATGCATCAAGTATCTTGGTCCGGTGCGTAATCATATTCATCGTCTTTTTTTTTTTTTATTATCATTATTAAACCTTAATTTTTTGAAAAATATGTTGTGCCTAGTGACCGAGTCCACTTATTAGTTACAATGTTGTTGACTTGTGCAGATGGAACGAAAGCCTTATGAAGTGGCGGTGGAGGAGGGGAAGCTAATATACAGGGAAAGTCGGGAGTTTTTGAACACGATTGACGAGCCAAAGGGTACTAAGTGGATTTTTGTTCTGAGCACATCAAGGACATTATATGTCGGGAAAAAGATAAAAGGCTCGTTTCAACACTCGAGTTTTCTTGCTGGAGGAGCTACACTAGCTGCTGGGAGAATTGTAGCTGAAAATGGCATCTTAAAGGTATAAATTACTTGTGTAGTGTTTTCAGATTCCATCTTTATGCTTCTGGTATAAAAGTTGAAGATGTTCTCTTGAATGCTCCCTTAATATTTGAATATTAGTCTAACTTGTGCTATGTTGGATTTTTAAACAGGCAGTTTGGCCTCACAGTGGTCACTACCGGCCCACGCCCGAAAATTTCCAGGTCTTCTTATCATTTTTGAGAGATAACAATGTAGATCTCATCCATGTTAAGGTACTGAACAAATAGAAGAAAAATCCTATGTGTTTCTTTCCTTTCTATCGTTCGTTTTTCACTAATATTATTAAGCTTAATCAGTATATCTTAAATGTCACTCGGTCCAGCTCGATTCCATTGACGAAGAAGATTCGTCCACCAGAAAACACGTTAGAAGCAACTCGTCTTACGATGACTTGTTTGGAAAAGATCGCCCGTTGGTAGAAGAAAATGTTAGATTTAACCCCAACAAAGAAGAAAAAGAGAGCGTCAAACTTGGCCTAAACAAACTCAAGACTCTTGTTATACCACGCAAGGGTGACACGATCGACTTGTTGCGGAACAAATGTGAAATAGCCGAATCGTGCAAGAATATATCATTCTTAGCATCACCCTGTGATGAGAATTTAAAGGCAAAAGAAGAGGTAGCTTTGGATGATGAAGAACGACACGAGACTATTCCGGAGGAGCACATATTGGAAAGAATTAAGTCTCACAAAAGAATGGGGTCATTCCAATTGGGAAAGCAACTGAGCTGCAAGTGGAGCACAGGGGCCGGGCCAAGGATCGGGTGCTTGAGAGATTATCCGTCGGGCTTGCAATGCCACGCGTTGGAGCAAGCGAATTTGTCTCCGAGAAGTAAACGTAATTTGAGATTCGAATTTCCCTCTCGTTCGTCGACGCCAACCGGTAGTAGTAATCTTTCGCGTAGTTTAGGAGGCGGTAATCACAGGGAATGACAGGTTTAACATTTTTTTTCTTTTCTTTTTTTTCATTTTGGGGCATAGTGAAGAACAGTTGATTCTTCATTTACTTCATTGTTTTGGGTGAATAGGAAGAATGATAGCACAGGAATATATGTATACTAATATTCTTTTTCTGTAGTTTTTTTCTCTGAGAAAAAAGAAGAAAACACATCATATACACAGTTTTTGATACTCTTAGCTCCTTATGAAATGGGCAAGAGGTCTGTCTAACTTTGAATACACTTGTTATCCAATAAAGAAACTTTTTTTTTTCCAAAAAATAATAATGGTTCCCTTTCTTGTGGTTTCTATGCCTGTAGATTGGAGTGTGATATTTCCAAGTATAATTACATGAGGAACTAGGTTGGTAAACAAATCGAATTTTTTTTTTATTCGAATACAAATAATGTTTCATATGTGAAAGTTAAACGAATCCGAATTCGAATTTGTAGATATTCGTTTCGAAATTTGAATATTTGATTCGTTAACAATAATTATACAAATTTTTTAAATTATATATAGTATACACTTAGGTTACAATATATATATGTATATATATATATTGTTATATTACATAAAAAATAAAAACATACTAAATTAGAAATTTTCCTTAAAAATATGGAAAAGCATAAAATTTGTTTTTGTAATTATAGTATTTTTTGATTATAATATTTTTCTGAAAACGAATTTCGAATCGTATCGAATATGTTTGATTATTCTAAATGAATCGAATACGAACCAAACTATTAGTTCATTAACACATCGAATACGAATTCAAATTCTCGAATATTTTAACGAATCCGAATCAAATATTTTAGTATTCGATTTGATTTGATTGGTTTACAACCCTATGGACCAGAAAAAAATATTTATTCCATTTGTTATTGGGCTAATGTGATTTGTTGGACCACATCTGGCGTTTTGCGCTGGAGTGCAGATGAAATCAGCCCCGTTGGAGCGCTAGACTTCTGCGCGAGAAGAGAGTCGGGAACAGTATTGCGCCAGATGTGGCGCAACATTGTTCCTCGACTCTACATTATATATATTTTTTTATTTTTTTTGTTGTTTTTTTTGTGTATTATTATTGATAATTTTTTGTATAATGTGTATTAATAAATGTATTTTTTGTGCTAAATAATTTATGTAATGTATTTTTTATGCTAAATTATTTTGTGTTTTTTATTTATTGATGTATTATAATTTTTTTCGTAATTTTTTAATATTAAAATGATACCATATGAATAAAAATTTAACACACTCAAACAAGTTTATTTCATTAAAATTAAAGTTTACAACACACATAAATCATAGAACATAATTAAAAACAACATGATTAAAAATGACTTACCACAAAAATAAAAACAACTTGATTAAAAATGACTTAACACACAAATAAGAACAACATGATTAAAGATGACATAATAATCAAAGGAACACACGAATAATTCTAGTAGTCTCCCAAACCACTTCCAGACCCGCCAAGATCTTAAAAAAACTCGCTGAAAGAACCAAAAGTGTTGCTGGCTTGTGATGGCTGCGATCCTTCTCTTTTTCTCAGAATTCGTTCTTGCTCATTTTTAAAATATTCACGACGAAGGCTATCTTGTATGGACTCCAAATCCATCATTAAAATTTTATTTTCCTCTGTCCATGTGGTAGTCTCAACAAGTTGTTTTCTTAATTCATTTTTTTGCTTTTGGATTTCAATTTTTTCTCTTATCATCTCACTGTCGTGATCTCTCTTCATTGCCGAGCTTCTTATCATCTCTCTAAATTTTTCATTTTTCTCTTTTATTGTTTTTATAACTGCAGATACGTCTTCTCCCTGTTTTCTCTTGAATTTTGATTTTTTAATACCTAATGGTCGTTGTGATGATGAACCACCACTAGCATTTTCATCGCTTAAATTAATAGAAAAATTAGATAGTTCTTGATTAGGTGAAATGGAAGAGTCGGGTTGTGCATCTGATTGCGGTTGAGATGAAAAAGTGTTTCGTCTAGTTGATGTTCACTCAAACAATGTAAAATCTTTCATAATATTCCACACATGCTCGTACTTGAATGATTTATCACTTTTATTTTTTGGGTTTTGTGAATAAAGTATATTCGCACGCTCCATCTACAATGTGAAAATAAATAACATTAGAAAATATAAAAATTTATCTTAAATATAAATAAATAATGCTTGTAAAATTTCTTACCACATCATGTTCAGAAGCCCCACTGATGTTTGCATTTTCAATTTGCTCTACACAAGATTTCAAAAGTTTGATAGCAGTATTGATAGTTCCAATGCGACATTGGATCGATCTTTGTGGACGATCAGGCCAGGTTGGATTGAGTTTTGTAGAGTTATACTCGTTCGTCACCTGAGCCAGAATTGATCTCTACTTTGATATATGCCCACCCCTGGATCTTGAGAAATTTCCATATAAGACCGACATAGGTGTTGATCTTCATTCGGAGTATAGTTTGAACCCATAAAAGAAATTACGACAAGATAATGAATTTAAAACGTAAATTAGAAAATGATGAAGTTATATTTTGGTGGTACAACATTTTGCCTCACCATGTAGCATATTTATAGTATATTTCATTTCCATTGATAAGAATCGTACGGTTGACATTCATGATAGGAAAATCTGAGTTAACGGCTAAGATTTAAAGTTGTGGATTTCCTTCTCCACATATCAACCATAGGATTCTTATCTAAAGATTTAACGGCTCAGATTTAAAGGTGTAGATTTTCTTATCTACATCTCAACCGTAGGATTCTTATCTAAAGATTTAATGGCTCAGATTTAAAGGTGCAAATTTTCTTATCTACGTTTCAACCGTAGGATTCTTATCTAAAGATTTAACGGCTAAGATTTAAAGGTGTAGATTTTCTTATCTACATCTCAACCGTAGGATTCTTATCTAAAGATTTAATGGCTCAGATTTAAAGGTGCTGATTTTCTTATCTACATCTCAACAGTAGGATTCTTATCTAAAGATTTAACGGCTAACATTTAAAGGTGTAGATTTTCTTATCTACATCTCAACCGTATGATTCTTATCTAAAATATATGATTTAGTGTATATTTACAGTCTAGACCGTATATGATTTAGGGCATATATTCACATTTTGGAAAATGATTGTAGTAAACTGAATTGCTTACAATCCTGGTTAAACGATTTAGAAATTGAATTGCAATATACTCATTTTGAAAAATGATTGTAATAGAGTGAATTGCTTACAATCCTGAGACACTTCAAAGATAATCACTCGCGAGAACCCTTACAGTTGGAAAAAACACATAGAGTATAAATAATTGGTTATTAATTGTATGAAAACTCTTTATAACCGGTTATCTACTGTTAAAGATTTAACGACTAAGATTTAAAGGTGTAGATTTTATTATCTACATCTCAGCCGTAGGATTCTTATCTAAAGATTTAATGGCTAAGATTAAAAGGTGTAGATTTTATTATCCACATCTCAACCGTAGGATTCTTACCTAAAGATTTAATGGCTAAGATTAAAAGGTATAGATTTTCTTATCCACATCTCAACCGTAGGATTCTTATCGAAAGGTTAATGGCTACGATTAAAAGGTGTAGATTTTCTTATCCACATCTCAACCGTATGATTCTTATCTAAAGATTTAACGGCTAAGATTAAAAGGTGTAGATTTTCTTATCCACATTTCAACCGTAGGATTCTTATCTATGAAAATCAAAATTAAATGGCTCAGATTAAGAGTTGTAGATTTCTATATCACTATTTATACGTAGATCTTCACAGAAATTATTTATTCGTAAACTCTTGCATTTTCCAGAAAAATATGAATCCCAATCACATTGGTACTTCTTATGCATTTTCTTCTTCAAGTTCATCTGATGATGAACTTGAACAATTGCTAGATAGTTAGATACAGAGCAACTCTGATAGCACAACAAATTTACAATAATAATATTCTTGTGCAAGAATTTCTTAGAACTCAACAAGGCGGTCAAAGCCATGGAGGTTCAGTTCCTGGTCGAAAAACAATATTTCGCGATCGAGAAGCAGTTGCAAATCGTCTTTATAATGATTATTTTTTTTAAAACCCAAAATTTAATGAAGCCATGTTTCGTAGACATTTTCGGATGTCTAGAAATTTATTTTTTCGTATAGCAAATGCAGTTAAAAGTCATGATGATTATTTTTTGCATCAAAGAGATGCAGTTGGTAGACTCGGATTGTCTACCTATCAAAAGTTAACTGCTGCGCTTCGGATAATAGCATACGCTGCACCAGCTGACGCAACAGATGAATACATTAATATTGGAGAGTCCACCGCAATTGTATGCGTGAAGAAATTTTGTCGTGTTGTTGTAGAGAAATTCGGAGGGCAATATTTACGTTCTCCCAACGCCATCGACATTGCAAGACTCCTTTATATCGGTAAGCAACGTGGCTTTTCAGGAATGTTAGGTAGTCTGGATCGTATGCATTGGTGTTGGAAAAATTGTCCAACAGCTTGGGCAGGTGCATATACAGGATGATATAGCCACGGCTAGTACTGTCGGCTTGACCGGTAGTATCTGATATAGCATGCCGTACCCGATCGGTTTTTATGGATATATATTGAAGAATACGCCTATACATGGGCTAAGACACTTGATATGACAATATGGGTCAAGCCCAACCTAGGCCAGGCCCAACTTGGAATATAAGGTACACTCCCCCTATAAAAGGGGGAGAAGGTACTCATTTCATTCATTCTCTCATCATTTCAATACTACTCTCTTTCTCTACACTCTCTCCCTACTCTCTCTATGCAGTCTCATATGAATCCAGTACTGACTTAAGCATCGGAGGCCCAAAGCCAGGCACCCCTCCTGGGTTCGAACGCTTATCCACCCTCGGAGGGGTGGTCGACACATATGAACATCTTCGCTCGATGGGTTATTCCTCGAACGCATGCCCACCCTCGGAGGAGTGGTCGACGCATACGACCATCTTCACT